ACCCCCGTCATTGCATGGCCAACCGCTCCCTCGTTTTCATTCACGCTGTCACCGCCCGGCTACAGTATCCCTTCAGGCTGAACGCTGACGCGCGTTTCTCTGTGCGTGTTAGTGTATGTGTGAGTGTATGGGTGTGTATGTACATACGCATACACGTACATATCCATATGTATGTCTATGTACATGGTGATAATTGTTTTGTGTATCACTGCTAACTAAATATCGCTTTACCTCAATCAAGACGTGTTTCTCTGAATCCGTTGGACCAAAATAGCATTTTATGCCAGAAATCTCTTCCAGAACGCTCATTCTTGTGTGTTTTCAACCAGCTACGAACTATTCGAACTCGTTTTTGCATTCATTTCCAGGTGTATATGTCACTAGATCGTTTTTCTTATCAGCTTGGGTGTGTATGTATGTCTGTGTGTATGTGCGGTAATCGATTTTTCCGAAGCGGAGCTGAACGATGAGACGAAAAAAAGTGTGTTCGGCTCGATATCTGGTTTCAGTGCATTATCGATTATTAAAGAAAGAAACATTTGTGAAGCGTTCGTTGTAAGTACAATACTTAATGTGATACTATACAACTCTATTCGCTCCTGAAGGCATGTGATATTACGGTAGCGCGCGGATGTAGAGAAACGCCGGCGAAGCGAAAGCGAGCGAGCGAGCGAGCGATGCGGCGGCTGCCGCATGTGCGCTAACGGAATATGATCGAAATGTGTGTGCATATTGACATCGTCGTCGGCTGTCGTCGCATCATATCCCCCAATAAGTCTATTAAGACCCTAAGTCTTTAATTCTAGTATTTATTATTTTTCCTTTTCTCTCCTCCCTCTCTCTCTTTCTCTCTTTCATCAAACACACTTGAGAAGAACAGACGCCCCGAATTGCCGGTCGGTCGGTCGGTTGGTTTTTTCCAGCATGTTTGATGGGCGGCGCTAAGAGTCGTTCTGGACAGGCATGTGGCCTTTTTCTAACCTGACATTTTTGTGAACTCTCCTCCTTCTCCTTGCGATTATAACTTTTTCCGCGAAGTTTTTTTCGCCTGAAACAGATATTTAGTTTTCCTCTGGCCTGAGTTTGCTTAGGCGAAAGAGTAGCGGGTTTTGAAGGCGACGAAATCGCAGTTTGTTAAAGTATAGACGAGCGACCTAGACTTGTCTTGGGACGATCTTCAGTGACTCAGCAGATGAGCATGACATATTAATCATCACTAGATTACTGGTGGTTGTTGCAAATTCCCTAGTCCGGTTGTTGTTTTTAATGGGTCACATGAGGCAGATGCTACTTCAAATTAATATTTCTACTACATAACTGTTCAAATTTCAGCGCCAAATGCGCCCAACTTACTACTATTTCTCTGTCTTATTGTAAGCCGTTGGCTTATTCCACACGTTAATAAAGTCGTGGACTCTTTAGGTTCTTTATTTGGTTTGCACTTTATAGTTACGGATTGTGATGTTAAAAACTTATTGTTCTGTTGTTAGTCTAACGAAAAGAGAAGGTTATTTTGTGGTTGTAGTCAATTCCTTCAGTTGATTGAAAATTGTTTTCCTGCCTTAACGAAGAAGGAAGAACAAGACGGTTTACAAATAACAAGTTGCGAGATGAGGACGACTGGCATTAGCTGGCTAGATGATTGTCTCATTTATGGAACACAGGCTGCAGGTAGAGTCTAAGAGTTGCTGTATAGTTACAATGACCACGATGCATTCATGCCTATCAAAATGAAACTGAGAGAGAAAGAAAGAGAGGGAAAGAAAGATGAATGATTTCCTCGAAAATCATCAACATCATCACCATCACCATCACCATCACCACAGCAGCCGTCAGCACACACTTGGAGAGACAGACCGCCCACCGTATCTCTAGAGCCATTGTAAGGCACGTTCTTATGTCCTTGCTTGGCCTTCTTTGCTGTTTCTTCATAAAATCTCACTTTCTTTTCATAGTAGTTTAAATTCTCTTTGTGGACTTTGCGTGAAGATACTCTCATTTGTTAAGGGAACTCTTGTAAACTCTGTATAACAACAGCAGGAATTTATTTACAACGAGATGTGACTGATTTTTTCTTCTGATTATTGAGTGGGATTTTTAGTGAACTGGCATTGTATACCACAATACCAGCTGTAGATTAATTCGCTACTGTCCCTGGATGGACTTTTGTCGCTTTTGTTAGAAAATCCAATATTTTCATCGGTGCTGTCAAATCCATTCGTATTGTGCGGCAGAATACCTGGCTGGACTGCACGCACTGTCTGACTATACCACATGTTTCTTCATATACTGTTCTAACAAATATTTTCAGGCACATAGTATTTCTTAAATGTGTTATATATTGCGTCGAATTCAGCTTGTTAAACCGCCCCCTGTCGAGTCTGTCGAATAACAACACCAATCATTGCGGATTGAAAAAATTCTATTAACAAGTCGACTAACCTGCCTTCCGTTCCACAACGACCTCAATTGAAGACGTGGTACCGCCTTAGCACGGATGCCATGGACACGAAAGAAGTCACATCTGGAAAACCTTCAACATGTCAGTAAGGAAGAAATGCAACAGATCCTTAAGCAGCAGCAACCGAACCAAACAAGAATCCGACCATGTTCACGGGCGGCGAATGTAAGACATCGAGGCAAGCGGAAGAAGTACTCCTAGTAGGCGAGATTTTAAGGAGATGCTGTATACGTTTTACCAACGCTTATGCTAAGTTTATGATTTACAGAAAAAAACCGTACCTCCACTTGTTTTTTGTGGTTCGATAGTCATCACTAAAGAGCTTTCGAAAAATTCATACGCAGAATACTTTCCTTTCTTTGTCTGCTTAAAAAAGCGTAGATGTGGAAAGAGTCAAGCAATTTCACGAATGATTGCCAACGCCTGTTTGATGATTCATGCATCTTTTTTGTAGAACTAGGAGTTTCTACATATCAATATGACATGATTTCAAGACTTCATCTATAATCTAATTTCCATAGTTTCGTCCTATTATCTGTAATTCCACTGTCTAACGAGTTGGACCAGAATTGGCACCACTGCAGTTTCCACTATCGGAAAAGAGGTGGCCATAGGTGACTGGTCGGACTATTTCGAAGCGTATATTAGGCTGTCTTTTGAAGATGGCCGTGAAATAACTCGTGACAACAGATTCCAGAATAGGACACATTTTTGCCATGGACATTCACTTGCTTATACAGTCACTCCCATGTTCTTATTTATAAACATGACAACTCCGTTATACAAGAAGTACACAACGATTGAGAACTGTAGAGAAAGGAAACTTCCTTCCTGATTCTAACTGCTAATCACCGTATGTAGATGGTGGCTTGAAATTTCCTTCCTGATTCTAGCTGATAATCACCGTAAGTAGATGGTCCTATTTGGCTCACGTTGGCATTTCCTACAGTAGCTCTCAAGTTGGGAGATATCACGTAATCTGATAACTAGCCCGTTTGCGATCAACTAAATAAAAGTAAGAAATCCATAAAAGATTTTACTAAAGCTACAGTAGTCTGTTAATGGTCTATCAGTTGTTTCACGGCAAATGGTGTAGGCTCTATGAATAAGGTTAGTAATATCTGTTTTTATCGGTATATTTATAGAAAGTTTAATATTCGCTTCTATTAAAATTGCAGCCGAATATCTCTCAATGTTAGCCATATTTTTTTACTTCCATTGCTTAGTTCAAAATGTTATTATGAACATTCACTACAGGAAGAAAACCATGCAAAACAATCAGTAGCAAAAGTAAAGGTCCGCGTTAAAAAGTGGTAGTGAGTGAGTTGAGAGTTTCGAAAAGTTTCACTTAATTTCGTATATGCTGATAAGGCGCATATAAGAACTTCTAACTCTCTGTGGACAAGATGAAGCTATTGGGTGGCGGTTTACGAACTGGTAGTGAAGAGGAAGGACCGACAAAAACCTCTGCCTGCTTTTCATCGATTTGTTGCTTCATGCTTCTTCTTCTTCTTCTAGTGGTTCTTCTTACCAGTAAACAAACGTGAATCACCTTTAAAAAGTCCACAAAGCAAGATCCTAACCTTTCATCATTTCATAATCCATTCCAGATATGAACAACGGAGAGAAATCACATTAGTTCGTAAACCATAATTCTCTAGTAGCCCCCAGGATCGACTTTCTATTAACCTCGGCATTGGAATATGAATGTGTCGTTTTCTTGTTCAGCAATCGCGAGGTTTTTAAACAGCATACATTTACTTCCATAGAAAAACACAATACAATACAACACTAGCTGACGTTTCGGCAGTATCGCCTTCTTCAGAGCACTCTAGTAGTCGTAAAAAACTCGGAACTCAACTACGAATTAGCTATAAGCTGGGTATACCAATATATCCTGGCTTGTCATTTGGGTCAAAACCCTTCCACCGTTTATGATAGTTTATTAAAGGTTGCTTAAAAATGGTTTTACGATTCTACGAATTATTTTTTAACTGTCGTTATGGTAATTTGGTTATAATATTCAGCGATAGTATGAGAGTCGTAAGCGCATGTGAGATTGTACCCAATCGTATAGTAGGTGATATCGTGAGAAATCATTAGTGATAATGGAGAAAGAAGTCGTTCAAAATTACAAAAAACCCTTCTTCCCGTGGTCGCTATGATAGTGGTAGAAATTTTCATTGAAAAACGTTTCAAATAATAATACTATGACCTAATAACGCTTACCATTAATAAGTCAGTGTTTTCTTGATGAGCATGCACGAGATTGTTACTGTACTTTTTGTTCCCAAAAAAGCCAACATTTTGGCGAAGTTTGTCTTCATCAAAGCTTTAAAAGCTCAATTTAACTGCAATCTCCTTAGCAAGCCATCTCGATAAGCTCAGCAGAAAAAATGTGACACTCTGACTTAAATCGCTTAGGAAACAGTGGCTTCTTCACACACTCTCATTCCACCTGAAGACCAACCATACAGAGCTCACATGGATGGATAATGCCCCTCTGACGTTAGAATACCTTTAATATTACACTACAAAACTCCAGGCTGCTGGTGTTTGTGGTGGGTGTGGACAGACACCTACGGTTCGGAGTTTTCCAAAACATCTCAGCATCCGCGACGATGCTGAGATATTCGCAAAATTTAGACCACGGGCCAGATCGAACCACGATTTTTCGACATCATTATGGTTATAACATTACCCTTTATATCAATCGAATTTTTCGTTACATGAAAAGTCAAAAACTTTCAATCCATCAAATTTCAGCATTTTCAACAGGGTTGTCTATGTTTAAGTGGAATCTGGCCATATAGTTCCAGAAACTGTAATCGATTTGTTTTCTAGTTCTTTTTCCTTTTCATTTTTTCATTCGATGAACTCTTTCGAAAATTGTCAGGAGTCGAATATTCTATTCGACTTTCGTTTATTTTACTTACCTCAATAGTCACTCTACACGTGAAATTGGGTACGAGTTTTTGATTTCAGTTCGAATCTAAGCCGGACGTTGGCCAGCTGCAATCGCAGATGCAGATGCGAGAGGCGAAGCCGTACAAATGCACTCAATGTGTGAAGAGCTTCGCCAACTCGTCCTACCTCTCACAACATATGCGAATCCATCTCGGAATCAAACCATTCGGACCATGTCAGTATTGTGGAAAGAAAGTAAGTCCAATCTATAATATACATATCGATCGTTTCTCTAGTTTTCGTTATCGTGCAACGGTGATTTTTTGTCTTCAATCAGGAGCACGAACTCGAGCTTCATCGCTTTGTTGCTGTCAAAGGATAACATTGTGAATTGGTCTTGTTTATTCTTCTTGCTGATCATCTGAACCTTGTTTTCATCGTTGAGCTTTGTCGAAAATCGAAATAGATGTGAATTTTTTAGCCACTTATACCTTCACCGGTTATTTAAAGGTCATTTTACGTCCTATTGGTAGCGAATATCTTTAAGAACCACGAAAAAAGGGCTATAATGGAGTCGTTCTGAACTAAAGCACGTAGTTTTTTCAGCGTCAGACGAACTATATTGATTTTATGAGTGTGATCTGTTTAGAGATACCTTAGTCGTTTGTGATAAAAGATCTTCACCACAGCTTGAGAGGATCTCTGCATGTGACACTTCCTGCGATATTATCCAAAACTAGTAGTTTTTTCCTAGCAATAGTTCGTAACCGAAGTGCTTCGTTGGTTGGACTTTTAGCGTTTGCTACGAGACGATGGGGAACGGTATTTTAGATGAACCACTACCAATGACCAAACTCAGTGACATCCTTGAAAACAAGCACATTATGAAATTATTATCTATTTAATCCAATCGTTAACTTGCCTTTCTAAATCGGCAGTGAATTTGTTCATTTTAGGAAAAGTTTGAGAGTTTAAAATTCGCCCCGTTGATTGCAGCACAAACTAACACAACCGAGCACAGAAACGAGCAACTCTAAGCGCTTTTTCAGTACAAGAACGAAAGTGTCCACAAAATTGACTTCATTTATTAGTTCTGTAATTAGTTTGCCTAATCCTATACATTAATTTTAAAGGCTATTCAGTCTACAGACTAATAACCTTGAAAAAAGTGTCACTTAAATCTTAACTCTACCAAATTTGATAATTAGAAAGCCTGAAGAGGTTTATTATTGCAATAGACGAAGGCGACTTGGATGTTTTGAACCGAACCTCTGCAGCTTTCTTTAGTAGAAGTATCTCACTTAGAGAAAAGAAACCAATGCGCTAACGTTGTTTCCACTCTCGGTCTGTTTGAGCTTAACTCGGTATTTTGAAGTGCTTCAAAGCAATTTTATACCAGTTATACTTTTTTTTATTCGATTCACTTGATATTTTCAGAGCCACGTTTTACTGATGTTTGAGACATTGTGAGTATTCCCATCAAAATCTTCAACGATCGGGATTTCTTTGACTTAAAATTGTGAAATTTGTTGAATAGGAGGGACAAGGAATGGATTTTTCTTGTCGTGATTAGTTTTTTTTCGGAATGATCTCGACTAGATGAGAAAACACAGACGCATTCCGTCTATGCCGTTATGGCATCGATTCTACTAGTTTCCATAAAAGTACGCCGAAAAAAAACGCTGGCATCGGTATTTAAGAATCGATTTTGTCAAATTCTAACAAAATTAGACATTTTCGAAACGAAGTACGAAAAGCATCAAAAAGTCAGGGAAGATTCTGCAAGAATAAACTCCTTGATTACATTTTTTCGGAATAATAATGCATGATTAAAAATGATACGACCACGGACGACTTAGTGAAATTCGAATTTACTCGGATTTTTTTTTTATAGATCTGCCGAAATTGACTAAGCGTTTTTCTACTCCTTTCTTCTTTTTTCTTCTCATTCGACGGATTAAACGAAGCCCATTTAAATGTGTTGTGTGGTTTTCCCCCTTCCATATAAGGGTAATGCTTGATTATTATTGGCTAAAATAATCCACCACTATAGTCAAAAGCATTACACGTGCATTTTCTTTAAGTATAATGTAGTATTAGATAACTTGTCAGATAGGGTGCGTGATGAGTTTACTGGTTGAGCTTCAACTTACCGTATTCACAACCAATAGTGATCATGAAAAAAGAGGCGTTTCCTTTAACGCCATTGGTCAACCGTTGATGTAATGTTTTGGTACGGAAAGAGAAAATTACGCGAATCGAATGTGTCATATTATTTTCAGCAGAAAATTTTATGAATGAACTATGGATAAGGTTTAGAACGGCGTACCATAGTTGGGCAAAAATCGCCACGGCTTTTTTTCTAAGCATCGAAACCGATTGGATCCGCGAAACGTCAACTTAGAAGAACTATTTGTTCAAAATATTCTCGTGTTTATCAAGTAGAAAGAGACTTTTCGATGCACCTCAAGTTCAGAATCCCAGACCAAGTAGAATTTCGTCTTACGATAGAAGAACACTGCCTAGGAGTGATTGGAGATTATTATGACATTATTTATTATTATTCATCTTCTAAATGGTATTCATCTGCTAAATGCCTCTGTTCATATACAAGATCTGTGAGACAGCTCATCAGTGAAGTTACGGCCAACTGCTTTTTATTATTTAACTAACAGTGACGGAAAAAATCCGAATATGGACCAGTTTTCTCTGAAATCTTGCCATAAAACATCCTTATGCTTCTACAATAATAATATCATCATTATTGAAATATTTTTATATTACATATTTACCATTTTATCCTTCTTTATTTTAACTATTTGACTAATTTTTGTCTCTTATTTTTCGCGAGAGCGCGTATGGCGCAGTTGTCGAAGGCGTCCTGCAACATGCACATGGGATCGATCCCCACGCCCCTGGTCCACCAAGCCTTCCATCTTTTTGGGGTTGGCAAATTAGTGCTGAAATTGTCAAGGAGGATAGAAGCGTGGGCCCGATAGATCGGTAGCCCACTGTAAGTCATTGTAAAGGCCAGATATGCATTCAGTCACCTTCAAACGATGCTTAATGAAGTCGAATGCATGGCGCATCTCTCAGGGATTGATCAGGGCCTAGAACTTTACCATTTATGCCTTATCCTTTTAATTTTTGCAACAACTGAAATTTGCTCATTTCGAAGAATATTTTAAAAAAAGAGGAACAAAAATTAAGGTCGCACAACTCGCTGGTGTTTATTTCTTCGATGCTTGCTAGATAAATTGCTCTTCTGAATCTCATCCACAGTTTTACTTTACAAAATGCCCTATTATTTCAAACTTTATCGCCATTGTTAGTGCAAAATACAAAGCATTGAACAGTTTTCTGTTTTCAATAGAATGTCTACGAAATTGTGTTTTTTGTGGCTCCAAAATACCAATTCATAATTCACTGTGTCAGACAAAAATCTGTTTATGAACTGATAACAGATAACGATTAACTTACGAAACAGCTACTGATTTATAAATTTTATGAGGAGAAGTTCATACTTTTTTCTTCTCCTTTACTGGTCCTCCATCATCAGGCCGTTTTCTTTTTTTCCAGTATTTTGAAGAAACTGTTTTCCATGCGGCTAAAATCTAGATTTTGGGATTTTTTCCTTTTTAGGACTATGAAAATCCTTGGCTAAGTAGGTGAAACGTCGGTGTATTACTTATAAAACAAATGTCAATACAGTCCTTAATCGACTCAGCCAATATTCTCCGACATTCATGAAGAACAAGAAATCCTCAAGCAGCAGCCGAAGCAAATTCTCTCCGAAGAACTCGAAGTCTTTCGAGACTTCAGACGTTGGGAAAGGAATAATTTAATAACCATCCTGTTTCATTTTGCTTACAATGGCCAAAAACATAGTGTTTGTAGTTTTCTTCCATTTGTTCAACGATAAAGAGTAAATTAATGAAATATCAGAAAAGTATAGCCACTTCAAAACTTCCAATCGATACTTCATCTATGAAATTAAGCAAATGATGGTAACCTTCGCACAATGTCACCCACCGCATGTAGGCGTTTTTTTAGAGCGTTCGTCACTGTTTTTTCGCTACGTTTCAAGGTCTTTTTCTATGGGTTTTTGTATACGGTAGGCGGCATAAAAAACCGTACACACATCCATCCATACACAAAGACATATATACACACAAAGAACTCACTCATAGAGAGAATGGCGGTAGAGCTCCGCCGTAAGAGGGGATCTACTTAAAAATATTGAGTACCTACTGAAAATCCACTATTTAAGAAAGTATTATGAGAGTTGAGGTGCTTTTTCGCGTTGTTTTTTGCATCCGTGTTTCCCTGGATCTGAGCCCTCGATCTCTACATCCACCCTACGTTAACATTCCACGGTAATCAGTATGATGACGATATAATTCGTAATGTGAATATCTGTAAGAAAACATCCAAAGTCTTAAAAAAGGATGAATTAAAGGTTTTTTTTACATCTTTAGACCTCTTCAAATTGAAGGCTGTCTTTAAACATTGAGTGTTACGAAAACATCCATAATGATCCTCTTAAGGGGGAGAAATACAATAGGAGGAAAATAGATGTAGAACTGTATAAATTCAGTGCATACAAAATAAAAACTGGTAAAAGTTCGGGTTTTTTTAACTTTTTTTCAGTGAACTGGTGATTTTCTTAGTGTAGAACGATTACTGTAAATGAATCTAAAATCTTGATACGGTCTGACAGCAACAGTCGCGTCACGATGTTATTATAGTACAAAGGGGAAGGTGAAGGGGGGGGGGTATTAAAGTTCCTACGTTGCGATTTCTTCCGGATTTTTTATTTTATTAAGGAGCGGTGACCACTGATCAACTGAGAATCCGCCATTTATTTGTCGAAATAAGAAAAAGTTTTTTTTTCAAAATTTGTTTCTGTCTAACTTATTTTCTACCAGTAGTCTGTGACTACTCCTTGACAAGTTCTCCAAACATTTGTCTCTTTGGTGATTTGTTCGCCATTTTATTAATAAGCCCACCTCGACAACTTTTATGCTCCTTAATTAGTTTAAACTGAATAAAATTTTGTACTACCTTAATTAGGATTTGATTCATTTTTATCAGGAAAAAATATCTATTCATTTCGCATATATTATGTGGTTCAATACCTAATCATTTCAATCCTCTAATGAAGGGAGTGAAATGAGAACAAAACGACTTTTGAAACTATTCGTCAAGAGTACCGTAGTCATGTTCACATGTAATCATCGGTCATCAAGTATACTGTAAGCTTTTAACATAAGCATTCGAGAGATTCGGTAAGTTTTCTGCGCAGGAACCAGGCACCGTAGTAAAACTCGTTCCGTTTTTTTTTCAGAGTGTGGGTGGATTTTGAAACTATCTATCAAAAAGTATTGCTTAGAAAAGTAATCGATCTGTCCAGTACCAACTGAAGCCGGTTTCTTACGAAGATGTGTTTTTCTTTGGTTTGTTTTGGTGATTTTGTAGTAGAACTTTTTTCTACAGTAGTTTCATGAGGTTTGAGGAAGTTGCGATTGACGATTCCAAATTGGAATCCCTTACCATCGTCGTATTTTGCACGACTTTGGATTCCTTTCTCTAGATAAAGTTTTTCTAGTGAATATGATTTTTCCGCTTAGGAGAGTGTCTTGGATTTGGCTAAGTAGCCGAATAAAGTTTTTTTATCAGCCTGGCATTAGCTTATCAGAGAAAGAATGCATAATGATTAGTCATTATAAGGTTAAGCCAAGGTCAGCTTTTGAAATATTATCTTCGTTTGTGGCGCAGAAGCATTCAAGTTTGAGTATTTTGCATCCTTTCACGAAACTTACTTTTAAAATAAGAGTTATACTGTTTGTGTGCTCATTATTCATTCGTCGTATAGTTTGTTGATGCGTCACATTTTCCCGTTACCCTACCCTTCTCAGTAGTTCGAACTTCTCGAAATGCTTTCCTAGAGAGAAGTAAATGGCTTCCATCAGGAATCGCACGAGCCTAGCCATAATTTCCACTGAACAGGTATTTTTCTGGTTTGGCAAGTTTTTTTTTCCTTTCCAATTGCACTGAGCCAGCAACGTTACCACGGTGTGTCCGCGGGTCGCAAATAGCAACATTTCTCTTAGATCGGAGAGAATTCGCGTGTTCCACCTGGGGATTAAACGTGTACACATATGAAGTACTCCCGAAGAAACTACCTTGAGCAGAGCCCGAACTGATTTGTTTTTAAGAGTGAAATTTTTGGTTACAAGGTCGCAATTGAACAGTGATTGTGATCAAAAATCTGTTCGAATTTTTAGCGTGGATTTACATATTAACTGAACACTTTGGCCTCTTAAATATCCGTAAGTTTCGGAGAAGTCGATCCATCTTAGAGTCTTGGCTTAACTCCACTGAGACTTCGCAGGTCTTTACCACTGGTGTTCACCGACACTTTGTGAATGCGACGGAATTCTTCACATACGAGGCCATTACCAATTTACCGATACTGGAAAAATGCTAGGAGGTATTTGGTGTCGTAGACTGTATACCTTTCGATGCACCTCTGTCCACTGGCAGTATATTATTTCTACCAAAGTATAGGTATGCTTTGGGCAAGTTCTGAAATTGTGGCAAAGAATAATATTGACGGGACTTGCCGTCATGACATCCAATATATTAACGATTGCTTAATAACTTTAAGAGTGAAAAAATCTGAAGAGAAATGACACAGTGCTCTAAGAGAATCTAACTAACGATCATGCTACACAGCTTTTCGTCAAATGATTTCACTGCTGAATATTCCTTTCTTCCAAATATTTTCCATTTATAACTCTATCTACCACCGGTGTTAAAAGAGAGCTATGTCTGGTATTTCTGATTATCCATTAACTCAATTCTGTTTTCTCTTCCCTCTTTCTCTCATTCTTCCATTGCTCTTTTCTATTCATCGAAACTTAAATGGAGTCATGTCTTTTCTTTCTTTTAATAGAAAAACATCATTGTGAAGTCTTTCATTAATGCTGTTCATATGTCTTCGAGAGAAGCAAATACAGAAATGTCAGTTATAATCTCATGCTTCCTCTTCAAATTTATTGATTACTAGTAATCAATGGCAATTATTATAGGCTTCAGAAACGTGCAATATAATCAATAATCAATCTAGCAAATTTTACATAGCTAGTTGACCCTTTTATAGTGACGACAATTTACTAGTTTTAGTGTGGTATTTTTTTACTGACGTTGGGATGTGCGTTACGCATTGCGTAGAGGCGCTCTCCAATCCACACTGGATCAGTCATTGGCTCGATGCCTCGTCCAGTACTAACCAAGCACCCCACTTCGCTGGGATCGGTAAATTTGTGCCAGACTTTTCTGGATGTATAGAAACACAAACTATACAGATATTCTTTCATTGACAAGCTAACACGACGTTAATAAACGATTTCATTCCGAAAACTTCTCGACGTTTTCGTTTTCCTCGGAGCGGATGATTGAAGTCGATATTCACAGTCGTTCGTTTTCTCTATGTGTACCGGGCGATGTTCTTTTACACAAGACGATTGTCGTTGGTAGTAGTGATTGTCTAGTGGTAATGACTTGTTTTTTCCGGACATCCTTCAGAAGTCGGCATTATTAGAGGAAAAGTTGAAAGAAAAACTAGAATCCCAGAAACTAACTTTACACATCGGTAGCATCACCACAAGTGATTGAACAGCCCAAATATTTATTCAGTAACGCCTACAATGCTGGAATTAAAGTTCAATGCAAGTAGCAACGCTAAAGGGTTGATTAAAGCAGAAGGTTATCGTCCTTTACACATTTGTAATAATGCTTAAGTACGGATATTTACTGACTAATTTTGTTACCCAAGTTGTTCTAATGGAGCTATGGAATAATTTGAAGAAGTGTAGAACCCTGATAACAATTTGGTGCAGACATCAACCAAGAAAAACTTTAAAATCCTTCTTACAAATGAACAAAAGGTGATTCCTTTGATTCCTTCTCTATCAATTATTCTGTACCGTAATTTGGGCACGAAGTAGATAGTTTTTGATACTCGGAACATTCTTTATCAGTTTTCGATTTTTTAGGCTATTTTTTCTTCTTGTAGTTCCGAGACCGCCAATGTTGAGACGCCCACTATAGAAGAGATTTAAACGGCGCTTTAATGAAAGTCGTTTTAATTTATCGTTCACTTAAGCAAATCCGTTTGTGAACGATTCAAAGCACAAAGAAAGGCCACAAATATCAAATGAAACAATTGAAATTTTGTAAGATCGACCTTTTAAAGTATCAATCTAGAAGATAGAAGTAATTTTTCCCTATTTTGTCGACTAACGTTTTTTGATTTATTGATTTCTTAATATTTATAGCAAATAGACCATAACCATGACAATGTAAGTCCACCAATCATTAAGTACACCTCAAGCGGGCAGCAGTGAAACGTTCATATATTCCTTTTTAAATTTTTTGAAACCATTTCTTACGAGATGATAGCCTTGGGAACTCGCTGAGCAGAGACTGTGATGGCATAGGTTTCGTCTTATCTGAGCTTATTTATAGAAATATAGAACTTTTTCTCAGTTTGTAAAAAAAAAAGCTAGCGACTATACTAAGTCAACTGTACATAGGAGTTCAACATCAGCAAACAATCGCCAAACACAATGAGTTGGCAAACCTTTATTGTAAACGTTAGCGCCAAAGTATTAAAGTCCGTAGAATTTTCTATTACACCAGCTAACAGTTATTTTTTATTGAATAGGTCTTCTTTAAGGCTCATTCTGTTACAGCCTTAATGGTGATGTATTTCAGTTTACACAACTGTCACATCTTCAACAACACATACGCACGCATACCGGAGAGAAGCCGTATAAGTGCAAATATACTGGTTGTGAAAAGGCTTTTTCTCAACTCAGTAATCTTCAATCACATTCACGTTGTCATCAAACTGATAAACCGTTTAAGTGTAATAGGTGAGTGATGATGTTTTTCTACAGTCCTTCACAAGGTTGTCTTCAACCAGTAACGCTGGATTTCGCATTTGAAGTTACTTGCTGTTACTATCATACAAGAAGGTACTACTGCCGCAGTAACTACGTAGTGCACACAATACCAACCTCGTGTTTGCTTATTGAAGAAAACATCGAATTATCAATGAATGCCGAGGTTAATAAAAAATTGATCTTAGGAATTACAACGCAGTACAAGGTGCAACAACATTCTTATGCTTGAGCATTCTTTCTCATCATATCAAATTGTCTTTTCGAAGGTGTTCCATCGTAAACAAGGGAAACTACGAATGGTAAACTGCTAGCACATGCATCAAATAGAATGCGCGAATCATTCGTTTTCTAGACTGAAAACACTGTATACACTTTTATATCAGTTAGGTAATGAATTTCTAGTTGAAATGTGGAATGTGAGACTATGTATTATAATAAAATCTACTAGTTGATATCGATTTTTCAATTTAGTTAGAATTTGTTGCTTACGAAGAAAAGAGCATTAATGTAAACTAAGTGTCTAAAAGAATCTCTTGGAGACTCGTGCAGTTCTAGTTACGCAAAAATTCTCCTCAAAAGGGCAATCTGTGCACCAAGGACTCGAGAAAGCCTGGATTCTAGCCAATATTCAGAAATCCTTCAACTTGCCATGTCTGCCCTGATTACGATATTTTAAGCATTGAATATATAGATTGGCTATAGTTCATAGTTTCTTCTCATACGCTTTCTATTCTCTTATACTAACGCGTGCCACTAAATTCTAATAGACGTGTGTAACCTAACCATCGTAAAAAGTTCTGAACATTTCAAAAGATTTTAAAAAACTTGTGAATATCATAAGAAGCCTACTTATACTTGTTACTTGAACGGCCCATCATCACCAGTTGTGCGGGCTCCAGCATTATCACCATTTTTCGGAGATTTGGTGGTTAAGGCACTGTGGTTCAATGGAATCCCGAGGACAGCCTGCCTAAAGTCTGCCCGAGTTTACAAGAAGTAATGGAGAAATTTTAGACTCTATGTTAGGATACAGTCGTAACTAATTCTGAAGACTGACTGGATTTTTTAAATTATGTCCTTTCCTTGTTTCCACTTTCTTTCTGGTAAAATCTTCAAGTGTGAACGTTTCTTATTCGTTGAAAGAAGTTTGTTTTCACCATAGACCTACTCAATTTCAAATATTGAATTCTGCAGTTAAGAATGGTAGTTTTTCTTATTCATTGGCGAGAACTTGGGAGGCCTTGGAATTGGAAACTGGAGATTAGATTAGAGAACAATGTTAGGATTTCCTCTAACGGCAGATTTTGGAGCTTTCGTTTTTGGTTTGTAGGAATATTCTTGGATTCGGAAACAACGGTCTTCGAACTGTCAACTTAAGCAATCATTTGTATCGTCAAATCTTCCTTTATCTATGGAATTCTTTTGTAATTTGAAACCGAGTCATCGAGGATTCTTTTGCGGTGTAAGACTATTCCTCTCCTTTTATGGCGCAAAAAATTTTCTTATCCACTGATTCACAGGAGTTATTGGGTGAAAGAGCGGCAGCGGTAGCACAACAGGGAGGAACAACATCACTCTGTATCAAGGAAATAATGGAATTTTTGAAGAAATAGTTGTTTCATTGGAGAGAGTTGGAGAAACATTGACATATAGTGGAGGTTTTTCTTTCTAAACACGTAATGTTAAGGGAAAGTACTCCAGCTAATAGAGAACTCATGCGGCTACAAAAAAATCCGCCTACCACCGCATGGCAGCGGACAGTAGCGTTCTCCTACTGTTGTGAGACGGTCACTATAGTCTTGTTGTGAAACATGTCCAAGCAAAATCTGGTTCAGTCGATGAAATTGACCTAAAGTTTTGCAGCTAGTTTTCTTACGTTGAACCTTTTAACTTTGATGTAGTCGCCGAGTTGTAAAGAGTCGAGTGTCGTTAAGTGAAGTTACGTCAGTTGTTAGCATTGCGATCAATTATGGATTAAGTTTACTGCATTCGGGCCATCCAGAAACTTCTTGTAGAGCGGGACAGATTAAACATTACTAGATCGGCCTAGTAATTTCGCATTGTAAACAATGAAAAAGAATGTGATTTTCCGCATAACATTAGTTATTCCCAAGCAATCTTGATAGTGATTACCAAGCTTTCTATCACCATTGCCTTACTAACCATCAGTTACATGAAATCTACAAACAATGTAAAAGAAAGCACTAAAGCTCTGTCGAGTAGAGAGAGAACTCTACTTTTCTTTAATTTTAAGAAATTTCTAGGATCTTTTCTCAATAGAAACTGAAATTATAGTAAAAAAGTAAAATCCGAAATCCTCATGGCAGCAAATGTTTTCGTCAAACTACTAAAAGTATAAAAGCACTAATAATTCATCGAGTATTTGACTTTTTTATTAGGATTTTAACTTATTATTTGCTGCGTACTCTTGTTCTTAATGGCAGGGTATATTGCGAAATATAACTTCAATGGTGCTAAGATATTTGCATAACTCCGGACCGCAGGTGTCTGCGGTGTGGAACGAACGCGCTATTGTCTTTTCGGGGACGTCGGGGAGTAACCACCACACCATTCGGGTCCTTCGTTTCTCCTGTTTCTCAGCTAATTCTATCGATCTTTTGCCATCAGCAATCACCCGCGAACGAGGTTGATCTGGAGGACCAAAATCGGCAACGAACCGAGTTTAATTTTTTTCTTTTTATCAGGTTTACTTAGTGCGGAGCTTCAAACTAGGGTAAATCTACAAACGTGTACTTAGATCGAAAACTTTCTGATTATTCACAGTTACGGTAGGAGTCGAACGAAGAGAAGACGGATTTTCCAGAACACCGCGAAAAATTACGGTATTCGGAATTGTAGATGAATACCACTAATTGTGCTCGATTGTTAAGATTTCAATGATTTTATTGATTTTTCTACTCTTGAAACTCTTGATGCACATCCATTTCTCACTTTATTTTGTGAATTAAACTTTTTCCTCAACGTATGACCCCATTCACCACTTAGATTAAAATTCCGTTGCTTCTGTTTACCTTAACCTTTCATTATGTTATCGATTTTATTTAGGAGATGAAAGATGGACAGTTTCATCAGCTCTTTTCTAACTCTTAACATAATAGTACAATAATATTAAATATTTTCAACTGATTACCCACTATGGTTGTTGCAATATTATTGATTTTTATTGACTTTTTGTCTTGCAGTTGCTACAAGTGCTTCTCGGATGAGCAAAGCTTATTGGAGCATATTCCGAAACATAAAGAATCGAAACATCTGAAGGTTGTACACTATTTCTGCCTACTTTTTTTCATAGTCGTACATTTTTGGCGCTTCTCTTTCTGCTTTTCATGTTTTCCGAGCACTTTTCATCCATTCAGTCGCTCGTAATTTTTAAGGTGCACATCTGTCCGTTTTGTGGAAAGTCGTACACTCAAGCCACTTATCTACAAAAACACATGACGAAACATGCAGATCGAACGCGAACAAATCCTTTAGGAGGGTGAGAGTTGTTCATTAATTATTCATTTATCACAAACATCACCGTATACGAGTGAAACTTCACATCAGTGTCGGTCAAAATTCTCGGAATTGCTGCATCAACTCATCCATCTTATGGTAGCGTTAACCATTTATAGTTTAATAGAGCGTTTACTAGTGTTGCTTTTACTACTGTTATCAATACTACAGTTTACTGTGTCGTATGTAGCGCAGTGGTTAATATTCCGTTCAATAGTAATACGCTCGGGGTCCTATGAAGTTGCTCCATTTTTTCATGTCTCGTCGTCCTGCCGATGATTTCTTATCACATTTAAAGAAAATGGTCAGAAATTCTGGTTATTTACATCTAATCACTGGAAAAAGCGGTCACAGAATGATTTTATGTTCTTGAAACCTTTATCAGCAGGAAATTCCACCATTTGAAGGTTCAGGTCCTTCTGTTTTTTTTCTGGTGTTTTCTGTCGTCATAGAATACCAATTTGGTTAGTAAACCAGTGAAAAATTTTCATTTGCATTCCTCGTTCTTTCTGGGAAAAAATGAAGTAGAGCGGCTTTTTAATATATTGACATCAGCAGGTGGTTTTTAACAGTTACTTCTCTTTACATTCGATTTTATACTTGAACGTTTATGTGGTAGAAATAAATAAGTTTGTCAGTGTAACTCGTATGACCCGGATGGTGTAGTGGTGAAGTGCGCTGCTCCCCGGTAAGGACAACAGCGCGTGTTCGTTCCCCACTGCATACACTTGTGGTCCGGAGTTTTGCAAATATCTCAGCATCTCATACGAATTATAATTCGAAACATAGCCTGCCATTAAGAAGAAAAAGGCAGTAAATAAAAGAGTTAAGTTTGTCAGTGTAGTTGTGAATAACAGTGATGACACGCTTGAGCCATACATGGCTGGACTTTTGTCCTTCACGCGTTAAATAAAAGATTATTATGGGTTTAGATAAGAATGTCGTCAGATAGTGGTTTATCTCTATACTTTTTCAATCACATTGAATTTTTATGGCTTTTACGGTTATTTTAGGAAAAAGCAATGGTTTATCCTGGTTTTTTTCTGGGATTTCTGGAATTACTGATTAGAAGATTAGGATTAAGGTTAGAACAGTCAGCAAAAGCTAAACAGTAGCGGATCGATAGAACTCGATAATTCTTACTCTAACTGAAGAAAAGGTTTTCGCTAAAGTAAGGAACCTGAAATGAGGAGTGATCTTTAATACAACACTGCTTAATCGGTTTTTCCTTCGGTTTGGTGCCCTAGAAAATGATTAAGTTCGAAGCTTCTTCGAACTGCAACTGCAAAATTCAATGTATTTGGGTAAAGTCCGACAACTCAATTTTGAACCTCTATTTCTATAGTGATGTTATTTATTATTTTTCTTATAACATTATTCTTTATCGCTTTAGTTTGTTGAGCCCGAAATGAACATAAAGGTGAGACGTGTTTCTAGGAGCCTACCGTAATACAAGCAAAGTTAATGAGAAATTGACCAACTTACTTGTTAAAATTCTTCAGATAATTCTTCATAATTCCCACTACTGATAAAGATATCAGCTAGTTTTCTTACGCTTCCTTCGACTAATGCATAATAGTCTACGTTCAGGATCATTAAGTAATGTCTGCAAAATGTGACTACTGACGAAAGACATGTTTTTCGGCGTTTTAAGCACTTCTGATCCATTTTCCGTTTTTCTTTTGTTAATACGTTTGAAACTACGATTCCGTCAAACAGGGGTCGCTAAGCTTTGAGTAAGCAAAGCCATCTGTTCAGACGAGACGTTCATTCGAACGACCACAGTGTGATGGCAGTCGATCGATCACAAAACACTTTTGCAGAGCGAAAACGTTTCGTGGATGAGATGTCGTCCGGGGATGGTCATTTTAATACTCACAAACGAAGGAAATTATTATAACGGCTTATTTTACAAAATCTGCTATTAAATCAATCACACTGAACTATCTCATAGAAAGAGTGTAGGCATTTGTACGAGTTTTCACTGCCTAATTGTTGCCTCAGGACGAGGTGTATTAGTAGTTACAAAAGAACTGGATCATTATGGCAACCCACTCTACAAACATTACTTTTAAGTAACCTATATTAAGCCCAATAGCAGAGAAACCACGAGTTTCTGTACGAGTTTTCTGACGACACTGATACTTATTGTAATGCAAAGTTCAACGTCAGTATTTATGTCGACATAAATTTTGTATCGCAAAAAAACCCATCTATTTGTCTTCAATAATTTAAGGATTTAGAAAATTTCAGCTTTCCTCCGGATTTTCCTGTTGATCATCTCGACTTAAATTCATCATGGAACGGTTTGCCGATGCCAGACAACTCACACACACAGCAGTTCGACATTAGTAAGTTCTGTGAACTATTTTTTACCTCCCATTTGACTCCTTCTTGGTGCCGTTCATCACCTTCTCGATCTTCCCATCTCTTTTCCTCCGTCCTTCTCCCTCTGCCTACTACTCTTTCTTACTCTCTCCTACTCTTCATCGCTTTCCAGCTACTTCTTTTCGTCTCTTTTATCCACTACTTCTTTAACTGTCACTTTTTTGAGCTTATATACTTGCTTCCTATTCAAGAAATCTTGAAGGAATGCCATGTAGTCTCATTGTTAGAGTGGCGTACAAAACTCTGCTCGCGTTATCGCGTAAAACATATCGTATCATGACTGTTACTTTTACCGAAGAGGAACCACCTCATGTGCCAGTCGAATACTGTTTTTGTGTCATCATCTGACCACTACTGTTGTTAAATACTGTAGGTAGGATTGCGTATCGAAAATGACAGAAGACACTGATTGCTGTTAACGAAGAACTTCTAGGGTTGTTCGCTACAGACGACAATGACAGCAAAACTCAAAGTGCTTCTTGGGTTTTCATCCTATACTATTCTTCCAGTAGGTGTTCGTCTGAATTTCGAAAAGATGACATAATTCAAATATTTTTGAGAACTTTCTATCAAAATACAACGTAGGTTGAGCAAAGACCAACGAATCCATGGTTCTTTAGAATAAAATGATGTAGCCGACTTTTTACACCGTTTATATTTCTGAGTCCAGCGCGACGATTAGAACCCGAAAACTCACAGAGTGCTCAATTCATATCACTTCTTAATATTTCTGGTTACGAAGAACCACACAGCAAGGAAATAATTACCGTGTCCTATATTAGTCTCTTTATAAATTTACTGGGTTATAGTTTTTAATTTGTAACTGTCATCAAGTCCTGGTAAGATCTCTTTGTAAAAAAATCCTCGTTGCATATATATCACTTTCTTTTAGCCTATTCACCTATCAGTCACAAAATAACGGCGAAACTAATGATTTATTGGAATGACCCTCTCTATTCTGTGTAGTAAAGTCAGATTGGATAAATCAATAAGACAAGTAATGTTGCAAAATAGTCAGAATTTACATCTATGTTTAATAGAGCCGCTATTCATATAGACACAATTACAGTAGCCGTAGCTTCGTGATTACCGTATGCTCGAAAAACTTGAATTTATGCCGTTGATCGTCGCCGTATCGTTCACTGTAATCTAATGGGAAAATTCTTATTCAACTTCAAGTCGTCTATCACGATTTTCGTGAGGAAAAAAATCACTCAGTTACATGTCTACCATCTTCGTCTAGTCTTTCCAGAACGGCGACGTTTTTTTCCTTTTTCTCGATGAATACTCTCCAAAGATGGAGAGTTGTTGTCCTAGATGAGATCTGTCCTCTCATCGATACCGTACACACATCCATTGCTGTCAGTTCTATAGTTGACGCTGGTTTGTCCTGTCTATAATTGACCTAAAACTGGTTCCACCTTTATGGTTTTTTTTCTTTTGCTCATAAGATTAAACCCATCGCTAAATGTCTTCTTCTCTGGCCGGAGTGTTTTGCCTTCACTTTACACTCCACGTCGAACATCGACACTAACTCTTTCTCATCACTTCAGGATAGCTTCCCTCAACTGTCTTTTTGTCATTCACCCGTTCTGCGTCTCTAGACGTAAAAGCCACTCTGTGCATGTGTGTCCTAGTCGGTCGCCCTGACCCGATTCTCTTTGGAGACATTTTTTTGCCGTGGGAAGGAAGTATCGTGCGGCGAACGTACACATGAACTCGATGAAAAGCAAGGGGTCGACAAAATGCCAGCATCTTGTGAGAGATCAGAAAAACTGTGCGAATGCTAAAAGAACTTTCTAGTATTAATCATGAGTGACATACCGTCAGAGACGAAGCAAAATGAAAACGGAAACAGATCACCGGATGTTCTAGTTTTTTTTAAAAGAAGAAAAAGAGAAAACAGACACTGGAATGATTCGCGTCATATGTTTAGTTTTCGTGCCAATGCAATTAGCCAAAAAGTGACAAGACGATAAACTACAGACATAAATAGACGTGAAAAGGTCCACTGTGTTCAATTATGTCTCTAATAAAATTGGAAGGAAATCAATAGTTTTTTCTAGTTTTTATAAATTTTTTCCTAACGGTGCCATTTAAATCAGCACTATATAAGGATTTTTAAGGCAGTCATATATCATGGATTACCTACATGGATACGGTAAAATGCGCCTTGAGTGAGAAAAATGAGCGTTGATTGAACAAACAATGATATTTCCTTGGTTCTAATGAAAAGAAGAAGTGTCAGTACTGATGTTGTTAGGGTTTCATGCCTAACAGACAGCGATGGTAATGGCATATATAAGTTATGAAAGCTTTTTTGTTCCATTTTTAGTATAAGCAGAACTATAAATGTAGCAGAACTAGCTGGATGAAAAATATTTAAGTAAATGAGTGCCACTCTTCCCTTGAATGAATTGATGAATGAACGAATAGGCAGATGGATGAATGATCGAATGAATGAGTGATTGACTAGAATAAAACGCAGGAAGAAAAGCGATAGAGGAAAGCAAAGAAGTTGATAGAAAGAAAAGATTGAATTGATAAATGAATAAATAATTCTTTCTACTTCTATTTAGCAAACACGAAGTGTTATTTT